GAGGAGGAGGAGGAGGAGGAGGAGGAGGAGGAGGAGGAGGAGGAGGACGATGACGACGGGGGAAATAGGAATAGGAAAAAGTATTAGGTATGCATCACCACACAAATAATAATGATTCTATCCCTTTGTTAATATAGGTGACAACCAGGTTGGGTTTTGTGGTAGGTGCATAATACTACTGGCTTATATTTAAGTGATTTTTCACTAGAAGTCCAATATCCCATCAGTCGCTATTTTTGAGCTAGGTACCAAATTCAGTTTGGCATACATTAAAGCCAGGCTGAATTTATTGCAGCAGCAGAAAATATTTCTCTTCTATAGAAGATTTATTCATGTTGACTTTCCAAGTACTTGTGGAATTGAATGTACTCCTTGAGGAACTACAATGGACTATAGAATCCTATGGTTGATATGCAATATTCATATTTTCTTGATGAATACAGTAAATAGGAAATTATCTGTTCCATCAACTACTTCTCTGTGTTCCCTGGAGAGTTGCAGGAGTTGCTGGGCAGACTACAGACACTAAAGGACATGGTTAATCTTCCTCCGGAGAGTAAAAGTATAGAGATAGCAAAAAAAAAAGTCTGTCAGATATATCAGAGATATGATGAGTAAAAGAATACAATACGGAGATTAAAATTAATGTTTGGAATTAATTTCTGTCTTTCAGTCAAAAATCATCCTTCAGGAAGAATGCTCTCCTCTCAATATATAGGAAATTAGTATACACACACACACACACACACACACACACACACACAGAGAGAGAGAGAGAGAGAGAGAGAGAGAGAGAGAGAGAGAGATTGAAAAAAGACCTAAAAGCATGAATAGAAGAGATGATTCCACCAGACTGTCAATTATTTGGAAGCCTGCACTCACAAACAAAAAAATCTCCACCTAGGCACAAACAGATCCCCCCTGATACCTCCAGCTCAAACACACCAGGCACCCAGATGAAACTTAGCTTCCTAATAAATGATTAGCCGTCCATTTACTCAGAGCCAAGCTGCTCTGAAAGCCTTCAATGCAGCAAACACGATGTTGCCAGCCAATCCAGACAAAAACGAAAGCTACAAAACAGACAGAAGATATTAGAAACACCAATCAAGCAGAACACAGCAAACTCCAAGACCAATAAACACAGACCAAGACTCCCAACCAATCAGGATGAAGAAAAAATCATTCTGGCACAGCAGTAGGCTAGCCCCAAATTTAAAACAGAAACAGCTGTGGAAGTCTGACTCACAGACGAACACAATACAGAAGCCTGATGATGGCAGATGAGATTCTGCTGAAATGTTGCTAGAACTTTAAAAGCACAACTATACTGACATGTGAAAATACCCGAACAAAGCTGAATACCATATGTATGTATGTATGTATGTATGTATGTTTGTATGTATGTATGTATATAAACATGCTTTCATTTAAGCCTAGGGATATCTCCAAATTGCAAAAAACTTTCTTAAGACTTGGAGATATTATTTCCTCCTCACTAGCTGTTCTCTTTTATTTAGTTCAGGCCGTAAAAGAAGAATGTACCCTTTGGGTAAAAAAATGCATGCCAGTAACCCTGCACTGGAGCCAAAGATGGAGAATATTTCCACAGCTACCGTGTATTTACCCTTGGTGCTCAGATAGGCTGGGAAAAAAGACAACCACACACTGCAGAAGATCAGCATGCTGAAGGTGATAAACTTGGCTTCATTAAAGGTGTCAGGCAAGTTCCTAGCTAGATAGGCGACCATGAAACTGACTAGGGCAAGAATGTTCATGAAGCCCAGGACACAGTAAAACATATAGGTAGATCCTTCATTACATTCCAGTATAATTTCTTCATGCAGGGAATACATGTCAAAATGTGGAAATGGGGCAGAGGTTGCCAGCCAAATTGCACAAAGAGATGCTTGAAGAAAGGAGCAGGAAAACACAATAGAAGTAGCCAATCTGTTCCCTACCCATTTCCTTATTCCAGATCCTGGCTTGGTGGCCATGAAAGCAAGAACTACAATGACAGTTTTGGCCAGCACACAAGAAATTGCTACAGAAAAAATGAAAGTAAAAGCAACTTGTCGAAGGAGACATGTCAGTACTGTAGGCTGACCAATGAAAAGGAAAGTAGAAAGGAAGGAGAAAAGAAGAGAGGTGAGAAGAACATAGGAGAGACTCTGGTTGTTAGCTTTGACAATTGGTGTGTCATTGTGCTTAATGAAGATAGCAATCAGATATACTGTCATTAAAGCAAAGGAGAATGCAAACACCAAAGACGTAATTCCCAAAGGTTCTTGGTAAGACAAGAAAGTGATCTCTTTGACAATGCATGCATTTTGATGGAAATTTGCATATTGATCTCCTGGACATGGAACACAGTCATCTGCATCTGAAAAAGTACATAAGACATTGTTTATATTGTTACAACTGAAAGCAAAATTATATTTCTGAGAGTTTGTGTATTCGAATGGGTAGGAAAAATGATTACACATTTTCTTCTGCACCCCCAGCTCTGATCCCTGGTAAGTTGAATTAGAATTTCAGCTCCATAATATTTTGAAGTATGAAAAATCTTAATTTTCAAGCAAAATAGAAAGTGAGGCAAAGAATCTTGAATAATACAGGCAGAAATCAACCAATAAATACATCACATCTTAGTCAATTAATAAATTTTACTGAGGTATAACTACCCTCTTGTTCTGAAATCTTTCCTCCTGCACATGGAAAACAATCATAGCAACAGAATAGTTTCCCTTCTTTCATCGTTTTTCTTTGACCTGAACGACAATGTTCACTGCATACTGAATGGGGCTGAACCTGAAAGGCGAACAGACAAAAGGAGAATGTTGAATTCAGGTATTGACAGTATGGAGGCTATACAAGAGATTAATTAATGCTTTTTAAAAAAAGTTTTTTTATTTTTTTAACTTGAACATATCATCTTTTTAACTTGAACATATCATCATGAAACAATGTGTTGTCTCAGTACAAATGTCTTTGTGTAATTACAATCAAAATTTACAATATTCATTACTTTGATAATAAGTCTCTAATCTTACAATATTAATAATCAGCCTTATAAATCTATTTATTTCTCCCTCTTACCATATCTTCCAATGAAAGTATTATATTGAGTATGGTCATCTTAACAATCATATATAATAGTCACCGTATTGTATACATCTCTATCTTGACATATATCCTTTATTTCATTAATCTCTATTTCTCAGTTTTATTTTTATTCTCCAACCATCCATAAAATAACTCCCATGTCATATAATATTCAGTATTGTCAGAGTACTCATTTACTGGCAAAGACATAGTTAACAGAGTCAGTGAGTAGGCATGGTAACAAACCAGCCTGTCAGCATTCCAGTACTCAATTGAAATCATCCCCCTCCCACTTTCTCAGGCTATGTGGCAGCGTTGAATAAGGTTTCCAAAGCTGACACAGCCAATGGGAGTGGATCTAGAAAGTGAAACTAGAAGTTCTCTCTCTGCTCATGCTGCTGAGGTTGAGTTGCTTGTAACATGTCTGCTTCTGTTTGAATTTGCTTCATGTTGAAGAAATCTAAAACTGGTTTATAAAATTTACTTAATATGTTTATAAAGACATTAAATGAAGTATCAGCCATCTGTGTTTATTTTTTTGGTACTAAATTTATGCTGCAAAACTCTGAACAGGTTATTGAACCAGCAAACCCAAAATGCCCAGAAAAAGACTGAACTGTAATTAAAGTTGGGAGAATGCTTGCTTTAAAAGTAAGAAACGAGGCAAGAGGCTTTGCAGGATGACTGAAAAATATTAAAGAGAGCTCTCTACTATGTTTGGGTCAGAAGAACTATATTATTTGTGCTGCAAAGATGGAATGTTTCCTGAAGGCTAAAGAGCTTCAGAATATTGTGGAAAATCCACCCCAGTCACCATTAAATGCTGCAAATTCGAAGCTGCATGAAAGAGCATTTGGTTATATCATCTTGTCAATTGCTTACAACATAATAGCTATAAGTAAAAACATAGTTATGAATACATGGATACATATAAGAAAAATAAAAGAAACAATAGGACAGGGATGGTCGGGACATTGGTGCGCTTATGCATGCCGCCTACAGACCTCTTAGGAAAGGGGTGAGGTCAATAGTAGAAAGTCTAGGAATATAGTTTTTGGAGTTTGGGGAAGAAACCACAGAGTCAGGTAGAGTCTACCAGACATTGATCACTCTGTTGCTGAAGTCCTATTTCCTGCAATCAAGTTTGGTGCGATTACCCTTGAGTTTGTATCTATTGTTTGTTCTTGTATTGTTATGGTTGAAGCTGAAGTATTCATTGACAGGTAGGACATTGCAATGTATGATTTTATATGCTATACTTAGATCGGACTGAAGGCGGCATACTTCTAGGTTTTCTAGGTCCAGGATTTCAAGTCTGGTGGCATAAGGTATTCTGCAACGAGTAAAAAAGTGGAGAACTCTTCTTGTGAAATATTTCTGGACTTTCTCAACTGTGTTAATATCAGATACATAGTGTGGGTTCCAGACTGATGAGCTGTATTCAAGTATTGGTCTAGCAAACGTTTTGTATGCTCTAGTTTGTAGTGTAATATTACCAGAGAAAAAGCTCCATAAGATTAGGTAAACAACTCTTAATGCCTTTTTGGCTATGTAGTTGCAGTGGGTTCTAGCACTTAGATCATTAGAGATGAGTACTCCGAGGTCCTTGACAGAGTTTGGATGACCAGCAAGGTCTTGACTATTCAGCCTGTATTTTATTTTCTGATTTTTTTTTTTGGCCAATATGTAAGACAGAGCATTTGTTGAGATTTGATGTTGCCATTTGTTTGACCATTCTGATACATAGTCAAGATCTTTTTGAAGGGTAGCAGTATTGTCTGTGGTGTTGAATAGCTTTACATCATCAGCAAAGCAGATGCAGTTGCTTTTAATATGATCACAGAGGGGCTTCTGATTTGGGCTTCTTCAGTGATAGACTGAAATCTCCAATCATGTGCAGTTTTGATCTGTGCTTGCTGCTGGAGAGCCCCACACCAGCTGGTTTTGGGGCTAAGCCACCCCATAGAGGTGGTGAAGAGAAGGGAGACTGCTAGCGGGGTCGAGGAGAGTTTCATCTCTCCTCCCCAGCTAGCCATTACTCCCTTTCCCAAAGGCGGTTGCAGCAGTGGTCAGAAATGGCCACCTCAAAGAAGAACTCGACCAGAAAAGAATGTGAAAGGAGGATGATAAGAGAAAGTTTTGGCTGACCGGGTCGAACTGAATAAGCAACAATATAAGGTACCCTGGAATTTGTATTATAAAGAATAACATTGTTCCCAAAGAAGACTTTGAAGTGGCGAATGAAAGAGGGAAGGGAAAGTATTTAGGGGTTTTTGTTTTTTTCTTCCCTATATTAACAACTAAGAGATTTAAGCAAAAAACTGGCAAAAATCCACTTTGATATTATCAGGTATTTAAGCTGAAAATAAATTGTCAAAGGGATAATAAAGATTTCTGGATTCTCAAAAACTTTTAAAAGAAGGAAAAAACTAAAGTGTGGGATCTGGAAAAATGGAGGAGACCACCTGGAAGTGAAAGGAATTAACAGCGAAACTTTAACAAGATTCCTAAAATATACATTTTAAATGAAACTTTGTAACAAGGTAAGAGAACCCCAGGAAGAGAAAGTGGAAAAGAGAAGGAAGAAGAAACAGCTTTGGATTATTTGGGTTACTTGGTGATTTTTGGATTTTTGGCTATCAGATCTAAAGGACTAAAATTAATCAGGTGGTTGTTTAAAAGCTTTTAAAATGGTATCACCCTTAGAAGAATTGAGAATGGAACTTAAAAAACAGAAAGAAGATGCACAAGAAGGAGGAGGTTCTTTTGGCTTCGTATTTCAATTTTTAGAAATGGAGATCCTGAACTATGATAAACAACAAGGAATGCCTGTAGAACAAGAAGGGCGGGACAATGAAGAAGCCATCTTCAATGACCAAGTATTTCTATATGGGGAAAAGAAAGGAAAGGGGGGAAAGAGAGTGAAAAATTTAAGATTTGAAAAAACAACCCCAAAAAAGAATAGTTTGTAAAGTAATTACAACATTAGGAAGAAAAGAAGATAGGATTACAGAAGAGACAATCAGCATTAGATAGAGAAGGGGTCAAAAAGGGAAGGGAGAAGAAGAGGAGGAAGAGGGAAAGGAAAAGAAATTATACAGGACAGAAACAGGATGTAGAGAAACAGGGAAAACATACAAGGATTAAGGGTATAAGCCTTTTTAGCAGACACAGAGATAATGGGTGAAAACTTAATTAAAAGGGGGATTCTGCAAGGGTACATAAGATAGTATCGTTATATTAGAAATAGAAATGAACTTTGAAAACATGAAACAAGTGTGATTAAATGATAGATAAAATACTCATTGTAATGTAATGGAATGTTTAATAAATAAATGAAATAAAGAGAATGGGAGAATGAAATTAGGAAAGGATGGGAACACTTTAATTATTATAAATGTGTAATAAAAATTTAAATGAAGAGGAATATGAAAGAAACATGAAAAAGTTATGGAAATATTATAAGTGTTCCTAGAAGTATGATACCCTATTGAAAAGAAATGTTAAAGATGTCAAAGATTATAACTAGCATTTGTGATAGAGCTGAATTGGAATAGAATAAGTATTTTATTTATTATTGTCATATATATATTTTTTTCTCTTTAAGAACTTAGTGCGTATTTCAAGAATGTACTAAGCAAAATTCAACTGGAAGTTATGTGTTATATTGAATGTTATAATTGCAAAGGCATAAATTGAAGTTTAAATAAGAGTTAAATGGATAAAAATTAAAAGATACAAAGGTGTCATACTCCAATTAGTAACTACAGGGAAAATTTTTGTTTAATCAGAAAAGAAAATATGAAATTGAAACAGGACAGACAAAAATATAAATATAATGTTTAGAAAGATATTGAAATGCAGAAAAAGGTATATATAATTGAATTTAGAAAGGAATGAGATAATTTCAAGTAAGATTGAGAAAACTAAGGAAAGGGAAATATTATTGAGAAAATTTTAAAATAGTAATAAGATATGGAATAGAACATAAAGATGAATATGAAATTGAATTTCTGTCTGTATGGAGAAGTAATAACCCAGGACCATGCTATTCTTAAAAAAAAGAAATTTCACTTGTATTATGTTTTGTGAAAACCCAAATAAAATTTTTATTAAAAAAAAATGATCGCAGAGGTCATTTATGTAGAGTATGAAGAGAATTGGTCCTAGAACACTGCCTTGGGGGACACCACTGTTGACAGGTACAGAATTTGATAGGACGCTCCCAATTTTGACCATTTGTTGTCTGTTTGACAGTGATGCTTCTTTTCAGTTATGCAGGTGTCCAGAGATACCATAAGATTTTAGTTTTAGGAGTAGTTTGTCGTGTACCACTGAATCAAAGGCTTTAAAAAAGTCTATGTAGATTGCTATTGCTTTGCCCTGGTCGAGTGGTGTAGTTCATATGTTTTTGTAGTGTAAGAGTTGCAGATTACATGATAGTTTTTTCCTGAAACCAAATTGTTTATTAGAGAGTAGGTTGTTTGTCTCTAAGTGGAGGATAATGGATTGGTTAATAATTGATTCCATGACTTTACAGGTGATGCAGCATAAAGAGTTTGGTCTGTAATTTTCAATTTGGTAGGGGTCTCCCTTTTTGAAGATGGGGATGACCATGGCTTTTGACTATAGTTTTGGCAAGGAGCTGGTCCTGAAAGATTTTTCAAGGATTATGCTTAGAGGTTCGGCTATGGCAGTGGATAGCTTTTTTAAGAAGTAGGCACATATTCCATCCAGTCCAATAGATAGAGATGGTTTTAGATTGCATAGTGCTTTTTCAACATCATCTTCTGTAAAATCAATATTTATTAGATCATTGTAGTTGTCTGTGGTTCAACTAGGAAATATTGGACATGATCCATTGCTGTTTACAAGTACTGAACCAAAGAATGTGTTAAAGAGGTTGGCTTTAATAGTGTTGTCGTTGCAGTCTTTACCATTAGGTCCTTTCAGGGGTGGGATGGACCTTGAGTCTTTTAGTTTGTTGCTTACAAAATTGTAGAAAGTGCGGGTGGAATTGGTGCATAGAAGGT